GGCTTGGCAAGAGTGGCTGACCCAGACCATGACCACACTGGCTTCCTCACAGAGTATGTTGCAACAAGATGGTACAGAGCACCTGAAATCATGCTTAATTCAAAGGTAAAATTGTTGTACATGATGATAATGTTTCTTCCATCATTTTTTGTTGTGTGTGAGTGAATACTCGTTTTAATTTTGGTTTAATTTCAATACCTTTACCTTAACTTTCAGGGTTACAATAAATCAATAGATATTTGGTCTGTGGGCTGTATTTTGGCTGAAATGTTGTCAAACAGACCTATTTTCCCTGGTAAACATTACCTGGATCAGCTGAACCACATCCTTGGAGTCTTGGGATCACCAACACAGGAGGATTTGGAGTGTATCATTAATGAAAAGGTAATTTATTTGATCTGATTGAGGTTATGATAAATTTAAAGAAGACCAAATAAGCAGTGTGATTGGTTCCTTACCGTTTTCAGGCCAGAAATTATCTGCAGTCATTACCATTCAAGCCAAAAGTTCCTTGGTCTAAACTGTATCCTAATGCTGATCCCAAGGCACTAGATCTCTTGGACAAGATGTTAACATTCAACCCTCATAATCGCATAGGGGTTGAAGAGGCACTGGCCCATCCGTACTTGGAGCAGTACTATGACCCAGCAGATGAGGTAGGTTGAGTGTGTTGTCTCTATTTGCCCCCTTTCAAAAAAACGTGAATTGTGGCTATTGTTGAAGATAAGCACTGTCTGTTCCACTATTTTTGACTAAATTTTCTTTTTCCAGCCTGTTGCTGAAGAGCCTTTCCGCTTCTCAATGGAGTTAGATGATCTTCCCAAAGAGACTCTTAAGCAATACATCTTTGATGAAACTGTGCTCTTCAAAACCCGACTTACACAGGATCAGCAGCAAAATTAGGAATACTATTGGGAGTCTGGTAAGAGCATTTTCTTCTCTCAAGCCTTTCTCCCTATTTAATGAAGGAGTTAACCATATTTTTCCTTCCTGTTGCAGTTGCTTTTAGGGAAGCACTTCAGTGCTATCACATTGTGCTGTCACATCACTCAGTGGTACAAAATTTTGTAATTATGAACTGTGTCAATACGTGATGGACTTGAACATTGTGCCATAACATTACGTTATGTTTGTGATTTATACCATGTGATGTGACTTTTCGTAATCTACAAGTATAGTGAGAAAAACATTGAATAAATATTCCAAGAGAATTCATCAGGAGCCGTTTTGGTTAACAATTGCCAGTAAATGTTTTATCATTTATTAGTATTTTTATTTGGCTGGTGTTTTAAATTTCAGTGAAGCATGCATACATTTCTTGTCATTTGACCAAACTTAGTTTCACTCTGCATTCCTGTATTACCTTTGTAACTTAAGCAATAGTATTCTGAAGAGTATGAATTAATTAACTCAATATTTGTAAATATCAGAATTAAAGTGACACGGATGTAACCGTTTGTTAAGATTTCGTAATAATGTTCCTTTTCAACTTTCTTTTTATTTTATTTTAATTCAAATCCTATAGGTGCAGAAAGTGGACTCCCTACGACTATCCCCCGCGCCCCCTCACCTCTTTTTCCCCTCGAGGGGTGAGCTGTGGTGGGCAGGAGCCATGGGAGGAACTGACCTTGGGTGGTACGTTAGGGTGCCTTATGGTGCAGGAGAGAGTCCACTTTCCGCACCTATGTAAATCCACCATCTTCCAATGGGTGGGTATTTTGAATCCTTCCTGGATTTTCTGGTTCTTTATTTGTAAATTATTACTGTTATTCATGCTTGATTATGCCTAGGTATCATGGCGTAGAAAGCCAGGTACTGACACAATACAATGGGCTATGAGCACCTTTGGTTGGCGTGGGGCATTTATACGCCACACTATGCCACCTAGGCATCACTGAATGTGAATGCAACTTTATGCAGCAGTACTTTGAAGATTGTATCTTGCTGGTTGTATCTCTGCTTTGGAGCAGTGGTATGTTGCTCCTCCCAACACTCAACTGTTGATTATTTGCGGACTTCCTTTCATTAAAATGTGCAATTCGTTAGTTTTGTTTTACTGAATGTGATATAAGGACTGTCCCATATAATTCCATGTATGTGACCATCATAAGTAACATTCAGAAACTCTTATTCCAAAAGCATAGGAATCTAGAGGTTTTGAAAATTGTAAAAATCTGTGTTGACTAGCTAGAAACAAGTTAAGGTAGTGTAAAGAGTTCATTACACTCAGGCTTGCAGGCATTTATGTTAAGTCTTGATAAGAGAGCAGTCAAGTGTGGTTTTCTTTTCCTTTCTTACTTGGGATTCAGGCAACAAGCATCTTTCTGAATCTATTTCATCAAGATGTCACACATGTCAAGATGGATTATGTTATTGATGTTAATCATTGCATTGTTACAGTAGCAGTTATGTAAGGTAATAGTTTATTTTTGGACATGTAAATCATAGTTATATGAATGAAAATATGATCAGTACCATTTAAGTGGGAAAGAAGTGGAGGCCAGAAGCTGAGATTTCTTCATGCCTGTTTTGAGGAATTGGCACAACCTCAACACCGTCAACACCATGCCATGCCAAATTGAGGTGAGACAAGATTGGAGTGCTGCTCTTCTATTATGCCCTTTTTGGGATTACATTTCCTGCATTCATTACATTACAAGACATTTTAGAAAGGTTTTTTTTTCTTGGTTCTTAATTTGTTCAAGCCGTGACTTGCGATTCAGTCAAGAAAGACGAAAACCTTTGCGGACATTTTTGCTGGGCTTCTTTGCTTGCTTTACATTGTGGGGAAGTTATTTGATAAATATATATGTAAAAACACACTTTTGGTTTGGGTAATGCTTCTTTCCTTAACTGGTGTGGATTGAAATAAAATGAAAAATATTTTCAAGATTTTACAGTTAATGCATTACAAATGTTCTATAATTGTTACTACCGTGTATTCAATTTTACTCGTGCTCTGCTACCAGAGCTCAGGATTGCAACGAGTGTCGGGTCTGAATAAGACATTTCTGTCCTTTATTCGAGATTATACATTTGTCTTTCTATGTTTATCTTATGACTTTGTGATTTAACTTTGTATATAGAAGTGAATAACTCTTAATGTTTGTAGTATAAGAAACTTACCTATAAAACACACTTGGATCATCAGAGAGAATGTTTGCACATTTATTCTGACATTGTGTACCTCACATAAAATTTGAAAATATTAAATCGCATACATTTAAATACTTCTTTGCCGGTTTTCATGGTATCATTGTGTTTTTGCAGTCATTTATGCCCCTTCTAGACCATGTGGTGGTGCATGGTAAGATTTTTCCTCAGTTCCAAAGAAGTAACTATTACCATAATATTTCATAACAGTAACAGTAGACAAAATTGTAAGTCCTTGTATTTGTCCGCTATTCCAATTTTATCTACCCTTTGGTAATCTGAATGTTATTTTTTGGAAATATTTACAATTGACTGAAACGCAGCCTTTACCTACCATGGAACGAAATTAATATGAACTTTCATTATGTTTACAAAGACAGTGTAAAATGAACTTTTTAGAAAGAATTATGACTCTGGAAAATTTTAATGAACCAAAGTCTGTGCACCAACTTCGGAAGTCGGATTCTACTTTGTTACAGTAGGATGGATTATTGCTGAAGCAGAGTGTTTTATTCAATGTGATGTATCTTTTGAATTCAAATTTTGAATGTGTTGTGGTAATACATATCATTATATCGGATGACAGTATTGTAGTTGCCATAATATTGGCCTGTAGAAAATTTTGCCTCGAACCTATTCCTGTTTTGAATCCAGGTCCTAAACATTCATGGTTCATCCATTTTGTGTGTCCTTGTTCATAATTTTCTAGAACTTCCTTGTCTTAAGACATTCTGCTCTTCAAAGTAGTCACATTACATTCTTGTATACATCTGAAGTGGCCAACCTTGATGCATTTCTGTCCTTCCTAAAAATCTTTTCTCAAGGGAAAAATCTCCTTATCTTTGACTGCAAAAACTCTTACTCTGATGTGTTGTATGTGGCCTAATAGTAGTTTTGTTGAATCCGGTAATGATGTTGGTGGATATGTATTGTATAAAACGGTATCCCTAGAGTTGTTATATCATCACCTTTATAAGAGGAATAACCAATCTGTACTGTAATTATTGATGTGATTTTCGACCTTTGTAGTGATTTTCATTCCCTTGTAGTAATATTGTACTTGCTCTTATCAATGCATTGTCCAGTTTTTAAGTAGAGCTTCTTCTCCTTTCACTGTGGGTTGTGGCATGTTTTCATACCTTTTTTTTTTAAATGGGATTTTGTTGTTGACTTTGTTACAATTATGCAAGGATGCCTCCTTTCAAGACTGCATTTTGATTATTTGTGAAAAAGGGAACCATTTCTAATACAACGAAGTATTTTGATAAGGCTTCATCTACAGCAGTTATTGTTCATTTTTTATTAGCTACTTTGTCTGTTAACCAATAACTGTTTTGTGGACAACTTTTTTTTTTAAGGTGTGTCAATTTTAAACTTGTGTAATCTTTCATCAAATCATGTTCAAATCCAACAAAATGCTAGCAGAAATATTTTTAATTATCCGCACATTGCTTCAAAACCCTAAAAAAAGAGACAAAACAGAAAACATAAAAATCTGCTTTTCCTTGTTTAACTTTGCAAATTTTGCCAGAAATTTTTATATATTTTGGTCTGCTTGTATGCAAACAGTCACTGTTGTATCTACAAAACATTTTCTTCCATCATATCTCTATTACCTGTGGGATTTTCTAGTCTGGATGGGAGGACTTTACTCTTTCCCAAATCATTTTTGCTGCAAGGCACAACTTTTAGTTTGTGGTGTGTTATTGGAATATTGGGGATCCTCATTTTTAGTCAAATTTCTTCATCTAATATTGCGGTTTCTTGCCTATGGTGAAAATTGTCTTTCATCTTTTTACTCCTTTCCCTTCCTCCCTCCCTCTTCTCTGTGAGGGAACAATAATTCAGAGGAGTTCCAATTTTTATGTATGGGGACCTAGGAGATTGTAAACATGCATTGTCTAGCTAGGTGTGGTCAAGATTTTATGTAATTATTCTCTGTTCATTGTTAATAGTAAACAGTTATTCTCTAGAAATTTCTCTTCAAATCACTTACTTCTCATTGTATATGTATATGTATATTTATATATATGTATACAAGATATATTTGTATAATGTATTGTCTTTTGAAGAGTTTTTCCTCTTGAGTGTTTTCATACTCGGTGTAAGTAGAGCTTTCCCTTGCCAAGTGATATATGGTTTGATGAAAGTGAAATAAAGCAAGCGAAATCTTTCACATTTTGTCTCCATACAGTATTACTTCTAGTAATAATATTTGTCCAGTACTTTGCTGTCCAGGATTTAAGCTTCTGTTGAAAAGATAAAAATAAAAAGATACTGTTTGACTTCCAGTCTTTTCCCTGAACCTATTGGCGCAATTTTCGCACTTTCCTCAGAGGTTTACCCCCTCCCCCTTTACCACTGGCAAGGGTCCGGGTCCATATGGGACAGGGCCAATCTGAGCCATTCCTAAAGCGAAACGCTTACTTTTCCGTGCTCAATCACTATCTCCACTACCCCCTCCACACCCTCTACACCACGCACAACTTCCATTTCGGTTAACTTCGGTTCAAACATTCCCTACGGCGCTAGATGCTAGTCTCGTAGCAGGTAGCAGGTGTCGGTGCGAACGCAAACACCGCCTATTCGCAGGATCCTTCTTTGAGCAGATCGAATCCCGCCGCACCTGCGCATCGTGGATTTGTTGCAGATTTGTTGTTTTTCACGTCAAATATTGTGCTACGTTGGATGAAACCATGTTCGAAATGATTGATTTTATGTCAAGTATCTCTAGCACTTAATCGGCTGCACATCATAGGCTCGCATTACGTCTTTCGGCCGCGGAAAGCAGTGTTCCGATCAACATGGTAAGTGTCAGTTCCAGTGTTTGTGTCCAGTTTCTGCTTTTTCTTTTAGTTGTTTATCGTCCTTCAGTGCCCGAATTGGCATATTTTGTTTTCGATTTGATTTTGATTCAGCGTGTTCGCGTCTGCTTCTCGTTTTGACGGCATTTGTGTAAACGAAGATACTTCATTCATTATCATAACCTCTCTTTCCTTCTGTGTCTTATTCGAAATTTCTTCTCGTTTGGATGATCATGTCATGGGCTCATTAATGTCGTGAAACAGTTTTGCATTTGTTTTGTTCATTGCATTCCTTATCTTTAGTTTTTATGCCTATAACAAAGCTGGATTTACACAGTTAGTGTGTTTGCATTCTTCATATGTACAATTTCTTTTGCCTTATTCTCCAATGATACTGGACTCATTTAGCACTCGAAATTAACCCCTTCTTTGTATCAAACACAACTAGGAAGCTGGCTTCATGGTAACCTGACACTCTTTTATTTCCAGGGTGAAGCGACAATTGAAAATATGCCTTTAACGGCAGATAATCTGCAGATGTTAATCTCTCATTTTTACACCAGAAGCAATGACCCTACAGAGCAAATGAGAGCTCATTCTCTCCTATCGCAGGCTCAGGCTTCTCCAGCTGCTTGGAGTTTTGTTTGGGATCTCCTCTACCTAAATAAAGTAAATATTTTGACTGTATATCTTATTTGAGTTGTCTATTAGCACTCTTCTGTTAGATTTTCTTCTCTTTTTGAAATTTTACAGCCAGCCGAAGTACAGTTTTTTGCTGCATCTACACTTCACCTGAAACTTGTCAAATACTGGACTGAACTTCCTCAAGATCAGAGACCCGCATTACGCGAGAAGCTCATGTCAACAATCATGACTTTTTCTTCTGGGCCTAAAATAGTCTTGAGTCGCTTGTGTATTGTGGTAAGAATTGCCTCCTACAGGTATATGTTAAGAGTGTTCCTCTTTTTTCTGCAAATTCATTTTATTTCAAAATCTTATTGCCAGATGGCCACCATGGCATTGCAAATGCTCCCAGAGGATTGGCCAAATGCCATAGAGGAAATTATGGAACATTTAATATCTTCAAGGCAAACCCAGATATCACCAGACAGGGCACTTTGGATACTACTTGAAACACTTACTGTGTTAGCAGAGGAGACACAAACCAGTACTCTACAACAGCAGCACCGTGATGCTGTGAGAACTAAACTTGACCAAGCAGCTCCAGAAGGTATTTATTAACTTTAAAGTGTATAAAATGTTCGATTAATAATAATAACAATTATACTAGCAACTGTCACTTTTTGCAGTATTCAAACTTTTGGAAAGGACTATACCAGAGGGCATCAATGATCCTTCTGCTGGAAGTGTGGACAATGTTTGTCAGGCAATGCGTTGTTCTAGTGCGTGGCTTCAACTTCAGCTTCCTTTGTCACTTTGTGACACATTGTCCACACGACTTATAAATATTGTCAGACTGTGTAGTCAAGGACATGATACGAGTAATGCTGGGTAAATAAAGTTTGTGGAAGATACGATGTGAGACGTTTCTGCTCCCTTATAATAAGGCATCCCTACATGTTATGTTTCTTGTTGTCCTGTTCCAGAATGGCTGATTTAGCTGTTGATGCTCTCACTAATTTATTGTGTCGCCCTAATAGTCACAAATTTCCTACAACTGTTATGCAGATCATGGAAAAATATGTCGGTCTATTGGATATAGTGCAATTTCAGCTCAATTCCCCTGAGCCTGATGAGGTTTGTTGTTATGTGCTCATTCATTCTAGAGTTAATTAGAGTCTAAAAATACCTCCAATATACTATTATAAACACTGTATTTCAGGGCTTGGTTTGTGCCATCTTCACTTTGATGGTGACTGTAGCTGAAAGCCACTCTCATTTGCTTCTGGATTCTCTTCTCATGCCTGAAGGGACTCAATCAAGGAACACTGCAATGCGCCTCATTCAAGGAATTCTTCAGTGTTCAAACATGCCAGGCCAGTATCCACTTGACGAGAACTGTTCTCAAATGGCGTTCGGATTTTGGTATATGCTTCAGGTACAGTGCCTTAGCAACAATTGTAACTTGCAGTAAATTATTTGTTTTTGTTGAAAGATGTTTGGGTAACTGATATTTTGTGTGTGTCCTTATTTTTCTTGTCACCATCAGGATGATGTAATTGGTTCTGATCCTACTCCCTACCATCAACTAGTTCAATTATTGGCACCTGTATATGCCACCCTAGCTGAAATATTGTTACACAAAAGTATGTTACCTGAACGAAGCGACTTGGAAAGGAATTGGAATAGCGAAGACAGAGAGAGCTTTCGTTGTTATCGCCAAGATGTAGCAGATACGCTGGTAATGTGTTGGGCTTATTTCACCATCTCAATTAAGTTTTGTATCTTCAAAGTTTCCTTTTTCCATTTTATCTTTTTTTCAGCTTTACTGCTACTCTATTCTTCATGAATCCTTGCTCCAATTATATTGGAATAAGTTAGATGCTGCTCTCTTGAGCTTACAAGCCAATCCTACCTCTTGGCGGCATCTAGAAACAGTCTTGCATGGGTTTTTGTCTGTTGCTGAAGTTGTTCCCATGGAAGAAGACCGCTTTCTGCCAAACCTGCTTGCAGGACTCAAGGCTTTGCCTTTAACCCAATTGGATGTACGAGTCGCCGGAACTGTTTTGGATACTGTTGGTTGGTTACTCTATTTTTACGTAGCCTCATAGGCATGAATATGACTTGTTGAAACAGTGTCCTATCTACAACAGTTCAACAATTTAAGTGTGTATACTTTGCATAAATTTTTAGGTGCTTATGCAGAGTGGATTAACCATCACCCGGCGGCCCTGAGGGACGTGATGCCCCTTCTCCTGATGGGTCTGGATTGTGCAGAAGTCGCAACTTCAGCCACAATGGCACTGAAAGATTTAACGAGGGATTGTCAGCCTTCTATTGCACCATTCTGTAGCCCCATTCTTCTATCAGCCAAGGTTTATGTAGCCACCAATTTTTGTGTTTACTCTTAATAGAATTTCTTGAAACAATTTTTCCAATTTATTGTGTTTTTCCTCACAGCAAGCTTTAGCTACCGGCCATTTAAAGGCAAATGAAAGTATCCGAATGATGTCTATTTTAGGAAGAGTGTTGTCAATATGTCCTTTGCCTGACATACTTGCTTATTTAGATGAAGTCCTGCTGCCTCGAGTGACAGAATTGCAAGAATTAGCTCATCAGCTTGTAAGTTTCACAGTTTCCATTTCTGCAAGATCTTTTCTAATCAATATGTCCAAGAATTATGCCAATGAAACTTACCTGGTCTTTGATCTTCCTCCACCAGCCAAATGCTCATGTCAAGGCAAACATCCTTCTTCGCCTCCGCATGGTTAGCACTTTATTTTCAACATTGGACACAAGATTACCCTCAGATGAAGAATTACCTGAGGCTGGTGTTGCGGCACCGGTAAGACCCCATACGGGTGAGGGAGATGCCCCGCACGTTCAGCCTGTCCAAGTGATCCTCCGCTGGCTTCTTCCTGTCTTAAAAACTGTGGTTGACCGTTGGGCTAGTGATGAGCACATCATGACGGTATGTAAATAAAATATTTTAACACATTATCATTTTTAAAAAACAAATTTGGTGGGATTATTTTCCTTGCTACTTTGCCTTACTCATGTCGTCATCTTTCCGTAGGCTGTGAGCGCCTCGTTAAAGTATGCTTCTGGAACACTTATGGATGACTGTAAACCACTCCTTCCAGAAATGGTCAATATACTAGTTGTGGCATTTAATTTATATCCACAGGCTTCACTCTTGGACACAGCCAAACAGGTATTATTCATTTTTTACCTTATTATTATTATTGTGTTTACTTTCAAATGTAAGAAGCTAATTATTTTTATTTTTCATCAGTTGATGGTCATGTTTGCTCTGGAGGCTGATCAGGCAGAGCTGATGCGAGCCTTAATGGCTGATTGCACCTCAGTCTTCGTTGGTATTTGTGTTGCGTTTCCAAATTTATCACTTCAATCTGATCTTATTCAAGCATTCTACAATATGCATCTCAAATTAATGAAAAAGGATGCAAACATGGTTGCTTTGGCTATTAATAGTAATTTAGCAGAAGTTTTTAAATGTGGTAGGTTTAAAGTGGTACACTCAATTTTGTTTTCAGTCATGAAAAATATGTTAAGCACTCATTCTCTATTGTGTTCCCAGCTATGACGTCTCTCAGCTTGCCTGAATGTGGGGCGTCTAAAGCCGCTGCCGGTTATCTGTCATACTTCATATTAAACGGTGCAGAAACATCTCAATACCATCAGATAGTTAAGGAGAATGGCCAAGATCTCACGACTCGAGTTTTAAAATGCATTGGTAAGAGAAGTTTTTTCTATTGTCTTAAAAATAACAGGTGTTTTGATACTTGGTTGCTTGGTTTGAATCTCTTCTCATTGAGTCATTTCTTGTTTATGTTTTTTTACTTCTATTTTATTTTTGTCCCAGGCGGAGAAACACCCAGACAGTGTCTGGATCCTATAATAGATGTTTTATTAGCTCTCAATAAAAGGTTCTGTGAAGATCTGGCGAGATGGTTGCCAAGTATACTCTCTCAAGAGAATTTCCCCACCCCTCGTCCCTCTGTGCAAGAAAAGGAGCAATTTGTTCAATCTGTCTTGAGGTGGGTGCTCAAAACAATCTTTTCTCTGCTTGTTCTCTGTTAAGTCATGGTTTAGTACTTGCACTGAGCCTAACAACATTTTAAATTATTCTCACAGAGAACGTGCCAACAAAAGGAAGCTTCAAGAAAAAGTCCGAGCTTTTTCTCTTTTGTGTAGGGGTTTGGTTAATGAGTATGGTGAGCAGCAGCCTTCCCCATTTTTCTGACCCGTTTGTTCTGACAATGATTCACTATGTGATTTTTTGCTCAGTGAATAACTTTTTTCTGTTTCTCTTGATGTTTGTGTGTTGTTGTCCACCTTTTAATTAATGCAGTTTGTGTAGAAATTTCAAAGTCTATTCCATATGGTTTTATAATTTATTTGTACAGTCATGTCTAATTTGGAGGGTGGTGTTTCCTCCTTGTTCTATGTTACAATTGTGATTATGTCCAACTCCTGCCCCTTCTTTCTTACATAGTGGTCTAAGGGAGCCTTAACTGCTCTCCTTTTAATGTTACATATTAGTCTACTGTTTGCATATCAGCGAGAAACTGTAAAATAGCTTTCCCCATTTGACCATACTGTTATAGTAAGTTATGCTCTTGACCTGATCATGAATTAATTTTAGTTTGGAACTGTAGTTGTAAGCACAGCTCAGCTGTGATGAGAATGGATTGGTTGTTGACCTGACCTGTAATCTTGCCAAATTTAGAGACAGTTGAATTGTCATTAATGCATGCATGTAGCTTTGTTTTATTATATTGGGTCATACTTCTCAACTTAAGAAGGGATGTCTAATCTCTGTGTAACCTGGATAGCTTGACTTTAAAGGAACTCGCTTTATGTTCAGGTTTTCTATTGGGTTCAGTTTTGATAGTAGTAAATGGATGTGCTGCTGAGAAGTACCACCCAGTATAAACTTGAGTTGTAAACTCACTAGTTAGTTTTATAAATGTGTCGAACAATTTGATGTACTTTAAAATGGCAAGTTTCTGCAAGCCATCCTCAATCTTATCTTAAACAAATTATTGTTTGTTTTTGTTTTTAATTCTGTGATTGATCATGGTACAATTATCAGCTCCAGGTGAGAATTTTATGATGTGTTGAACTTATTGTAGAATTACTTTGTATCACAGTACATGTATGTAGAAGGGAAAAAATTGTAACCGCATTCTATATACAATTTTACACAAAGTGTAATTAGATGGTAGTTGTTCACTCTAGTCAGACATTGTTGAGATGTTACTTTTCTGGTATTAAATATATACTGATATGACCACTTACATATCTGATTCAGTCAATCATACCTATGTGGTTTGCTTTTCTGTGAATTATTTATTTATGATAATAAATTTAGGAAATAAATCTAGGAACTGGTGATGTATGTTTTCTTGTTATCGTATCTTGTTGTTTCTTTTATATCAACCAATTTTCAGATTTGTTGTATTCAATACAATGTTTTTTCACTTTGCGGACAGCTGCTTGGATGCATGTAATGCACCATAGTTGAGGCAACATTCCTTAATATTGAATCTATTTTCCCGATGTTAATGTATCTTGAATCAGGATGAATGTGGTCTGTGTATTTTTTCATTTTTCCAATGTCTTATCAATTCTACACTCCGCCTCAGCTGTGAAGATTTCGTAGATAACAATTATTTGACGGGGTATACCGTTTTACTTTAAATCAGATAAAGTTTTTGAATTTTTTGGGATGTGTTGGAAGAACCATGTGCATATCCTATATGACCGTTGTGCATTATACATAACAGTTTCTCAACTTGTTTATTAACAAAGAAGTCTGAATGTGATTTTTTTAGCATTCCTGCCATCTATGAGATTTTTTGTCAGCAACTGAATGCATTGCTTCTAGACGTATCTCTTAAGTGAGTGAATAATGTGTGTTTAATTGTCTTGTATGGCAGAAACTGCTTGTAGTACTTTATGGAGACTATTTAGTTTTATCAACTAGGTGGTTACTTACATGAAGTAGCCTTCAAAAAGATGAATGTTTGTTTCGTTCTTAATTATCCCTCTTGTAATTCACTGGAAATCTATCTTATCATCCAGAGTTGAGTTCATTTTATTTCAGGTTGAAAAGTTCATTAGTCACAGCTGGTGAATCATATTTTTTGCACTGTGTCTGTCTACTATCTGTGTGTTTTGAGTGTAATTTATTGTTTGCACTGTGATACTATGTGTAAGGTTTGATCTGATATTCTTTTAAAGAAAGAAATTTGAAGTCAAGGAGGGTGCCAAGTAAGGGGGCTTTCCCTCTCCTCCGCCCACTGTACTTAGTTGTTTACATTGATTTTTAATGCTGAAATGATGCTGAAGTTAAATGCAAAAAAAAAGTGTGAAGACCCTTGAATTGATTAATTTATTCATCTTCCCAGGTTAAATTTTTCACCCAATACATATATTACAGAATACAAGTTTGAAAGGTGTCTGAAAAGGACAGCACATGAAACACATACTTCACTTCACTGCCTCCACGCCAGCTATTCTGGTTTTACATATGAGAGACGTGTTTGAGATTTGTTCAGGACACTCGAGGGCCAGTGCCAGAGCAACGCCACAAGGCATAAATAAATCAAAGGCTTTGTACAAAACAAAACCACAGAACTCATTGTGGTAATGTCACGGCGTCTTCTGCTGCATATTCACAGATCAATTCTTCCTGCAAATAAGCAAAGTGTTGTTGTGATTGTCACTGACCTCACATTGCAATTCATTATTCATGTTGTGACGGGCGTTCTTTAGAACCTTGACATAATGGCAGTGCCGCCCCCGGACAGGATTTCTGCCTCTTACTTGATTTTGTTTGTCTTTGCTTTGCTTTTCTCTGCATCCTCAAGCCAAGAACGCCAGGTAAATGCTCACATTTGTTACTTAGGGCTTGAATTGCTCGTAACGGCGTGTGTGTTTTTGTCGTAATTTAGGTTAGACTGTGCCTTTGAATGTAAACATTTGCTCTTTCTCGATCAACGCCTATGTTCAAAAGGTCTGCATCTTTTAATTTCTCAAAAATTAGCTTACAACTTTGCTTATTTTCCGCCCTAATTTACGGTGTTCTTCTGATCTACTGATCTCACCACTTCCTGGATGGAGCAACTACTCTGACCTTTAGTCTCATGAATCATACGTTTTCTCATGGATTTATTCAGAGTCTTTGTTCTATTTTTTTGAATTCTCTTTGTCGTTAATTTTCTGAAATGTTGCTGTTTAGAGAAATTTTGTCATCATGATTGAGAGTATTAATTCTTATGATGCTTTGTCTGTTCCAGCTTACCGCAACAAAAAATCCAGGTTGTAATGAGAATCCACGGTGTAATAGCTCTGTTGAAGTAGTCCATGTGCGTGCCGATGGACCTAACGACACGATGCACTATGTATGGTGCTTCCACTCAGAACCCACTGTGTTGGTTGCGTTGACTTCGCATGAAGCAAATCTGTCAGTCTCTTGGCAAGATTTTCCTAATGCTTCTAGCAGTGTATCTTTTACTTCTCAACCTTTCTACTCATTTGGAGTCTTAATGAGTCAGGTTGGTTTTTTTAAGGTTTATTTTCCATCTTTCAGGCTCAAATCCTGTGTGGTATAGAATTATATGCTATAGATGATTTCTTTAATTTCAGATTTATGAATTCAATGACATAAATGACACAGGTTTATTAGATCCAGCAAATAATTCTAACACATATGTTAATAAAATTGAAATGCCGGAAGTGTGGGAGATGAAGATGTTGCAGCAGAACAGAGATTTTGTACGACTTGTCATGGACGGCACATGGAAGAAAAACTCCACCTCTATTAAAAATGGACTTATTCGAGTTGAGGTACTCATTGTTTATTTTACATCCTCAATTGACTTAAACTTATGTTATCAATTGTCTCACAATTTCCTTTTTTTCTAGCTTGAAACCTACAGAAGCACAGACCATAGTCCTAATTTGCCACATCTTCTACATTCATCTAATGCCACCTTAATTGAATTAAGTATTGTTAACATGGTAACCAGTTCAGGCTTTGAAAACAGCAGATACGCCATCGAGTTGACTATGGCTGCAAATGAAAGTTCGTCAGGTGGAATTTACAGTCGTTCATTCAAGAGTTTGGATGATGAGCACACTCCTGGTGTTTTTACTGTGAGTTCACTTTTCTATTACTAGTAAATTCTACTGCCATATTGACTGACTATAATGATTTTATTTTCCAGTTGGTTGATCTACAAACATCAGCTAGCAAACAAAGTGGTAATGGAGGATACCTACAATGGCGGCCTGTTGCCTATGTTGCTGATGAACGTGACATCATAAATTCAACAGAAACTGCTTTCTATTCAGTCAAAAATGGTTCTCTCTTACAATGTGAGGGTACTCTACTCGCAGCATTTTCTGGTTTTGACTTAAATACTAGTCTTCTAAAAGCTGTGAATGTTTCGTTTGGTGCCAGTGATGATGGCTTCTACTCTGCGACCAATAAAACTATCTGGTAAGGCTTGTCAATCGAATCACCCTTGAATTGTCCCTTTACATGTCCTCTGCCTTTACTAACTTACTAATTTTGGCATAATTTTCAGGACCTTCACTATGGGATATGGCCATCCTCCAGACGAAAACTTTTCTTTGCTGATTATCTTGGTGATGAGTGTCTGCTTAGGTTTGCCTGCTGTAATCATTGTATTGAGCGGCCTCTATGTTGCTCTTCGTAGAATAACGTACCGCAAAGATGACTTATTACTAAGTGAATAATAGACCATGTAGATTACTCAATTGATAAAGAAATAACTTTTAAAGACTGTTTGTATATACAATATATTTATCTTATGTTTAACATAGACACATTTGGTGTTAAACTGGTGAAATTTTGTCATTTATTTTATTACTTTCATAGTTTTTAAGTCTTATATGCTGGTTCTCTATCAAAGTCTTTTTGGCTGTGTGAACTGACCATGTGATACTCATATTGTAATCATTTTGCATGAATTTTCAAATCTTATGCAATTTGTATGGGATGGAGGGAAAAATGTAGGGCTCATGCCAAAGTAGTAGTTCCTTGATTGTGAGTCATTTGTGTCTTTTGCCCCTAAATCCAGTCAACTATCTTTTCTGCGACATTGTGTTTTGTTTTTATCTTGCATCTATTTGAAGCAGCTCAATAAGCCTTTAGTTTTTAACTCTGAAACTTATCTGTAATATTTTTTTGTATTTGTGAAAGATTTTCTGTGGTGTACGTCCTATTTCAAGAACAGTATAAAGTTTGATTTATGTGATTAGTGTGTCATGTGCCAGGTGCCAACTACTTGGAAAAGTGATAAACTTTAGCTTGTGATAGGAAAAGACCAAGTTATTTTAGGATGGAAGTAAGGAACCTCAGAACGGTAACTGTGTAGGAAGGTAGAGAAATAATAATAGAAACGGGAAGTATAAATAAAGCCTAGCATTATATTTTTTTATAATAAAACTCTTCTTCCTTACAAATTCAAATATATATCACTGCTACTTGAACACAACACATGTTTTGTGGCTTCCACTGAAATTGTGTCGAAGCAGTTTCTGCCTCACAGTGCTAGAACGAAGTCCCATGACTTAATTAAAACAATTTCCTAACTGACGAAACATGACTGAAGCCTACTACAATGCAAATTCAAATCAAATTTTTGAAACCAAATGGCACAGTTAAAGAAGCCCAAACAATGTATTACAGATTCAGCTTCATGGACCAAGGTGGAAGAAAAAAAATCACATCAAGACTTTATAAAAGCCTGAATTACTCTGTAAAAAGTTGTTCTTGTCAAACCCTCCCTTGACTTATTTCATCTAGGGCCCACCCATCATTCAAATTTTTTGTACATTTTGTTTTAATGTAGATGGAACAAATTTGTTTTCTTTCATTCAAAAGAAATATTGCTTTCCATTCAAGTTTAGAAAAAAACTTTACTTCAGATCTTCGTGACAACACAGATGTACTCACCACACAATGGTGATTACACACACTCAAAAACTATCAGTCACAATTGGAAATCATCCCAAAATATTTTGTACAAAGCTGCATACTGAAATGGTCATACATAAAAACAAAAACCGACCAAAGTGCTTAACAGGTCTGCAACATATCACAAAGTGGTAAATGCAGCAACAGCACGCTGGCACTAACATTGAGTCACACATGCATCACGTTCACACAGTTCACCAAATGATCTGCAGGGCACACTTACAGGAAAAAGGGGGGGAAGGATAAAGGATCAGTCTGATTGCATAAGTTGCAACAGCTCTGCTGCTGCCTCAGCTGCTGCTGTGGTTGAAGTAAGATGGAGTTTCTACATCCACTGCAGAACAGCACTGCTGGTTGGTAAATAACTCAGAAATGAGATGAACGATTTTCTCACAGCTCGTCGTGTGTCTGAAAATAATAATGTAAAATTAGAAGGTGGATGGCAATAAGTGCAAAACCATAGGAAGGAAAATTGAGAAAACTTACTTCATCAGCAGCATCGGCCTTGTCTGTGCTGTCCTTCTCAGCCACATCATTGTCGTCTTCATCTTCATCATCATCATCCTCTTGATCTTCTCGCACCTTCTTGTCGTTCTCTTCCTTCTTCCTTTCCTCCTCGTCCTGGGCCTCCTTCATCTTCTTCTCACCCTCGAAAGTGACCTTCCAGTTTTCCTTGCCAACCTTCTTGGCGTGCTCAGGGTCGTCAGTGATAAGAACATTGTCGAAGATGGTACCAGCCTTAACCTGCCACAAGTCGAAACCAATTCCGCAGATTTCTTTCCTGTAGTAGAGTTCGCTGTCAGCTTCGTATTCGGGGTTGTCGATTTCCGGGTGAACCCAAGGTCCCTAGAAATAAATAAGATAAAGTTAGTTGTCAGAAAATGTTATCTAAATTCCAAGTAAGTGAAAAATTGAATGAGGCATCTACCTTGTAGCTGGGGTTGTCAATCTGCTTGGGCTTCCACTCTCCCTTGTAGTCGGGGTTGTCGATCATCGGAGGCTCCCATTCACCGTCCATTTCATCATCCCAGTCCTCAGGTTTGCTGGCATCAGGGTCAGGAATGTGCTCAGGCTTATCCCAGTCTTCAGGTTTCTTGTCTTCAGGGTCGTCAATGGTTGCCCTGTCGTCCCAGTCGGATGGCTTCTTGGCTTCGGGATCCTTGATCTTCTTGGGAGGGAGGAAGTTCCAGTCAGCTTCCAGTTCTCCACCTTCAACCTTATCTCCGTCAATGAGGACCTGTAAACAAAGAGCAAAAAATGAGCCAGAGAACATAATCAAGAACACACTGGTTAACAGAGGGAAAGCGAGTTTACCTCATAGGTGTTATCAGGGTTGACAATGAGAGTGTACAGGTGAGTGTAGACATCATCCTTACAGCGGATGTCTTTGTTGATTAACAAGTTCTTTCCCTTGTAGCTGAAAATAACGTGGACCTTCTTGGTGCCAGGTCCGCAAATGTCAGGTCCTATAAATAATAAATGGGAAATAAGAGAATGAATGTTAGACGACCACAAAAGTATGAATAAATACACGGAAAATGCAAGACTGAAAATGAACTCACCGAACATAATTTCATAGGGTGTTTCACCATGCATGTCCTTGGAGTTCAAGTTACAGTCGAAAACCTTGACGTATCCACCACCACAGTCAATGTTCTGCTCATGTTTGACAGAAAACTGTACAACAAGAGGCTTGTTCTGGTTGCTGAAGGGAGGGAACTTAGTCGAAAGGGCGTAAAACCTGGCATCCTGAGATGTCTTGATACCTGAAACAGAAATAGAATGTTATAGGGTCAAAGTGGTCTCCAGTTTTCTGAATTTGAGGAAAATTAAACATGACCCAACCATGAGGGTTCAATACTCTAAATGACACATTCAAATGACAACTTAGTTCAAAATAAAGTGACAGACGAAAATGAGTGCAGAATGATCTTAGATAGTCAAATACAATTGAATGGGTGGCATGAGTCAAGTGACACTTGGCACTTTCAGAGGACAGCTCATGCCACATAGATACCAAAGGACAAGCTCATTTTCGTGGTAGATTTCTCAAAAATTTCACCGAGGCGATGGTATTCGGGCAGTTAACAGCCTGACGACAGTTTAAACACGAAACAAATGGAGATACAGTGGATTGATTCTGTCTTACCCTTGTCATTCTCCGGGTCGTTGTAAAAAGCACCAGCGCTGGTGACGAACTTGCCGAACTCCTTGCCGGGGTGCTCAGAATACACCCAGTTTTGCTGCCATGAATCTGGAACAATGGAAAAGACATTGTACTTCTGCGGTAAGAGACATAAACGGGGTGTGAACGAAAAAGGGCGAGTAGCATGATCCCGGCACAAGACCGACACCGCGTACAGAAACGCCGGAAAACGCCTGCACTTACCGTCAGCGAATTTTTCTTCGAAGTATACTTCTGCCCTAACAACAGCAACTGCAACTAGTGCAAATACCCCGAGTAGGAGCTTCATTTTGGGCTAAATTACCAACCAGCAGCCAGAACAGTCACTTTCCTAATGCCAAAACATGGACTGGAAAGACCGACTACTGCTTTGCCGTTCACTTGAGTGCAACGCAGCAGACAGACAGATGGAATGCTGTGATTGGCCGATGCCCGGCAGCCAATGGGAACAGACCACGCTCTGTCGGAGCGTTCCTCTCTCCCTCGCTGGCCTTACACCACTTGTGCATGCAACCAGGGTTCCCTTCTGCTGGAGCAAATAAATCTAGTTTTCTGGTCACAAGGTCGATTTAAAGTCGCTTTCGCCCGTTTTTGAAATTCCATTTGCGTTTACCGAAAATGAGACAAGCAGATATCGAGTGGTCGGAAGAGAAGAGGGAAAACCCAGACTCTGACGCCATTCATGCATTTTGGCGGCAGAATTTGAAGGGGCTCTCCAAGTTGTCATCATTGAGTACTCGAAGCTGAGACAATACGTCATTTTCTAAGAAAACCTAGAAGTCTTGACGAACCCCACGACGACAAAACAATCATTCTCAACTATTTCAAAAGTGAATCCTTTGGAAGTCGGCTCGGTGACGTGATATTTGATGAACTCAACATCAAAAATGCCAATCGCGAGGTCGAAGCGATACCAATTTTGTTCATGTGTGCGGCTGCCTTTCAGCGGCGTGACGGATCTAATTCTGGAATTCCCCATCCGGACAGCCTTTTTTGGGGGCAGGACGCCATCAGATAAAATAAAATGAGGTGGCGAAAGGGCTTTGGTCGGTCGGGCGCGCCTTTGTGGAGGGGCGATGGCCATTCGCGCATTCGCGGCCCAAAATGCCAAAATGCGGCAGTGACAAGTGCGGACAAGTGTCGGGGAGGGACACCGTCACCAGGCCGGCCACAGGCGGCGCTCGGCGATACGACGAACCGTCCGCCCCACGGGCCGAAGGCAGCCAATGGCGAGGCTCCTCGTGGTCGAGCCTGTCGACTTGCGATAGGACATGGGCCATGGATAGGGGGGTGTTCCTGGTTCGCTTCCTGCCGGCCGGCCGGCGAGCACGAGGCGAGGAGGCGCGGCCTGGGGCCTGGGCCAAACGGCGGAGGCACGGGCGGCGGCACGGTCATGAGGGTCTCAACGCAAAGGCGCCAAAGCACCAAGGCACGGCCCGCCCGGCCCGGCCGAGTCAAACCTGTCCCGTGTGAAGTGATGCCATCTCAGCCCTCCGACCCGTCCAGCGAGTCCCAGCGCATTAGAGCTGTCATGACTTTCCCGTGAAAGTGGAAGTGCGGCGGGGTTGCTCCAGACTCATTTCCGAGAATCGTTTTCGTCGCTCTGTCTCTCTCGCACTCGTGGGCCGTGCCCTATGGGTGCGAGAGAGACAGAGCGACGAGAACGACTCTCAGTGTTTGTTGCCGCGCTCATTCTCGAGCGTGGGCGTGGTGGCATTGTAGAAGGCGAGCCGTGATTTGGCGGATTTGTGTGGTTTGCGGGGAAGAAAGGGGGTTCGAGCTTCGAGCTGAACGAGGTTGTTATGAAAAGTGTACGTCAGCTGCCGCAAGGCATTCCCGCCTTAGGGTGACCAGCGGTGCACTGGTAACTTTGTTCTGGACCATACGCTCTGGTCTTCAGCGGGGGGGGGGGGGGGTATTAGGCAACAGTTAAGGAATTCCGTAGTGAAGTACAAATCATGTTCATGGCGCTGAAACCTCGCTCGCACTCAGCTCTCAGCTGAACTAATTGAGAAGGTCTGAATTAGAGCTTTTAAGCGCTCGAGTGCAGCAGGTAATTGTTCATTATCATCATCAAACTCCCTAATTGCATTGACCGCTTCCGTGGCGTCAAGCCCAAAACGCGCGCAGAGGTGGCAATGGCCCGCCTGGGCCCCAAAAGTCGAGCGTATGGCCAGCGTCTGGCCAAAAATGAGCGTATGGGCGAGGAAAATGTTCTGGACCATACGCACGGCCGAAAAATTGTTCTGGGCCATACGGCGTATGGCCGCGTATGGCCTCCAGTGCACCGCTGAGGGTGACCCCTCGCCTCTGACTGGTCATACACTATTGTTTTCCCCTTTTCCCCTTCAGTTTCCTCCCGTGCTTCCCGCCAAAAAAAAAAACTAAATGTCTCCATGAATCTTCTTAAATTCTAGAAAGGCCACACTAGGGCTCGTGAACACCTTGTGGATTTAAAAACGCCGCCTTGCTGTGCTTGGGGACTGCCAACTTGACGCCACGGCTGAGGGAGCTTAAGCTGCGACAAACCATTTGGTTTTGCAAAGCCAACCCACGAAAACAATTTTCTTAGGGCTCCGCGCTGGTTCGAATCAGTGTTGCATGCAAAGTGGACATTAATTGATCGACAAGGATGTTTGCGTAGGGAGCTTATTTTTCTTTCCGTGTCACACAGCCACCAACCTCCACCGCGCTGAAGAGGTTCCACGTTTCGCCGACGGATGGCGCTAGCGATCGGTGTGGTCGAGACTGCTTTCGCTGCCAACACTTGGGGCTGAAATAAAATCTTTCTCTGGACTTTGCCGCCCTACAAAGCACTTTTCCAGCGCTGCTTAGATTAGGTAACGAGTCTATTGACTGATGGCTGTGTTGCCTCTCCAGTGCATTAAATATTTTCACCTTTCTAGCAGCCTTATTGGTGCAATTTCTGTCTTCATGTTTTCTAATAGAGAGAGATGGGGTCGTGGGAGTGTATCGTTTTTCTACCCGGCAGTGGGCACTCGTGAATCAAAGAGGACACATCTCGATCCTCCGTGTCGTAAAATTTCTTAACCCCGGAGCGTGTGTTTGTTTTCTTTTTGTTGTTTGTTAAAGAGTCCAAGTTTCGCTTATTTGAAATAGACTCGCGACGTGTTTGGCAACCTCTTCGCATGCAGTGACCGTGTTCAGTTTCGGCCCGAGTGACAAAAATTGGAGTGTTCCGTCGCCAAGTGCTGCTGTCTGGCCAAGGTCTTGGGTCATGAGTGGATTAACAGTGTCGAGCAGAAGAAAGTGATTAGGCGTCGCGTCTTGCGCCTCAGTGATGTTCAATGGCAATGGTGATTGGGACTAGACATGCAGGCCAAGTCGTAGAAGCTTCGTGGAAGTATCTGCACTGTCGGCACGGGCGCGACATTGACTGAGGAACAGGATTGTCGCTATGCCGGGAAGCAGATCAAGCAACGACCCGGAGCAGAAGAGTCAGAGTCCTCGGGAGTCCGGAGAGGACTCTGAGGATGAGAGTGAGATCCTGGAGGAGAGTCCTTGTGGGCGATGGCTCAAGCGACGGGAAGAGGTTAGTGTCAAGTCAAACCTTGTGAGCTAATTAAGTTTTATTGATGCACACTGTTAAACTTGAGGAAGGAAGCGAGGAAGTTGCTGTTTACTTTTTGAACGCATTTAAAGCGAGGCCATAGGAGTATGTGTCCTCTTCAAAGTTTCGATTCCATTGCATTCTTAAATTCTGTCGTCTGCAAGTTGAAATCCCGTTTTGGAGAAGGTGTCACTATTTAATAAAAATGCATTAATTAATTAGTTTTGATTACATTTTGTTGTCAAAGTTTGTTTATGGCAGACTGCCACTACGATGCACCTAACTTTTTTTGATGATTGCCACCTAAAATGAAGTTTATTTACTGTGTCATAGTGCGCCTTAACCCCACTTTTTGTTAGAAATGTCATGATTCGACTATTGCTCACTGTGCAATTTGTCAATGGCTCAGATGGACTCTAAATTCTGATCTGTTGCTTTCGGCATCACATTGCCTTCAAACTTGTGTTATTTTTCTGACGTCCCACATTGCTTAAAGTTAAAGTCACCTTCTCGAACCTTGTAAAATGCGTTTCCTGAGTGACACAGTGCGGCTACGCCTCTTTCCTTTTGGATGAACGACTACGACAAGCATGATGTGTGTTCTGACGATTCCTCAGTGTTGTCGCTTTGGTGTTGGCACTTTGGTGTTGGCACTTTGAATGGACGGCTGGTAATAACCACCTTGCGGCCGACTGACCACCCCGCACCCTTTTCAGTGGCTCTGTATTTGTACCTGTCACCCCGTCTGGCGCTAAGTGCACCGCCTTCGCCCTTGACAACGTGCTACCCCGTCGGCGCCGCGCCCCGCCACGCCACGCCTTGGCAGGTGCCCGGCGTGCCATAAGTCGTGTCTCGTTTTGCGGTGTGCCGGCTGTGCCGTCCACCCCCGCGACGCGGTGCTCCGCGGCCGGTCTCTGCACCTGTCCGCCTGTGGAGCGATCTCGCTGGCGTGCCGCCCTCCCCGCCCCGCCCCGCCCCGCGCCCCGCCAATTGCGAGTGTAATTTTGCTACGAGTGCGACGGGGAGGGCCTCAGGGCCTCGCAGCCTCGGCCTTGGCGTGTCGGGCCGGCCGGGCAGGGCGGCCACGCCCCCTCCACCTCCACCCTGCTCCACTCCACACCCCGCCGGGCCGGGGAAGTCTCCAGTGTCCTCAGCGCGGCGCGGGCGCCCCTCCTCTCCCTGTCTCGCTGCGACAAATGAAATTTTGGGGCGCTTGGCGTGCGAGCGGGCGCTGGCTGCTTGCTGACCCGACCGCGCCCCGCGCCCGAGGACGCCGTCGCTGCCCTTGGCTCCCTTGGCGTGGCGCGGCGAGGCGTTTCACTTTCCATCCGAAACCGTGTCGGCGCAGAGTCGGCGAGGTGCATGCAGTACTGCGAGGTCGCGGGGCGCGGGGCCGAGTTATCGAGTAGCCGGCGCGATGTAACCCGGTGCACCTGCCTTCGGCGCGTCCGCCCGCCCCGCCCCGCCCCGCGGCACCGCGTGCGCCAGACGCATACCTTCGCGGCGAGGCTTGGTGCGCGGTGCCGCGGCTCGGCGCCGCATGCCGTCCTCCTACGTCCTCCCCAAGGGCCCGGCTGCGCTTGGCGGCGCTGTGCTCGGCTCGGCTCGGCTCGCCCCTGCCTTGCCTTGCCGCGCACCGCGCACCTTTCAGGCCGAACCGGCTCGGCCGACGGGGACTTGTCAGCTGATCGACGCCCCCTCCCCTCCCCTCCCGCGAGGCAGAGGGGCAGAGGCAGGATGCGCGCGGGGCTGGGATCGCCTCGCAGCCCTCGCCAAAAGTGAAGCCTTGCTGGGCCGGAGTGCGGCCTGCGGTACTTTGGCCGCGTACGTAAGTACAGTGGGTGTAGCAGGTTAGCATGTCGCCGTCCACCGGCCGAACGCTAAATGCGCTGCCCCTCTCGTGCTCCGCTTCCGGCTGTGGAACTCGCACCGCGTCGCCGGCCTACTCTCTGGCGGTTTCTCCCCTGACAGTGTACCAGTCCGGACGGGGCGGAGATTCTCCAGCCTGCCCCAACAGTGCGCCCCTCGACGAGTCTTCGTCACGTCGTCACGGGGTTCATTTGAGGCGGACGGGGTTGTTTGTAAACACGGGCCGAGCGCGCGCGTCCTTGGGGCAACGCGGCAACGCGCGGCCGGGGCTGCTGGTTGCCTGCCCGTCGGGGGCTGGGCTCGTCGCTGTCTCTCTCACACTCATAGGTGCGAGACACTGTGCGGACGAAGCGGGCCTACTACAGCCTCGACGTCGTCGTCGGCTTCCCGGTAAGCTCACGGGGTGGCCGGGGCTTTCCTCTGGACCGCGTGCCGGGGAATCCCCGAATCCTTCGCCGTCGTGGAGCACAGCCGCCGCTCTCGTCGTCGACAAGTGGGTTGTTTTGGTGGGGACGCGGTGCTACGCGACGCCACGCGCTGTGCACGCACGCAGGCCTGCGCGACTCTTCTACGTGACCCGGGCCGGGCCATGCCTCGGCCAGGCCGCCGCGGGCAGGGGGGCCAGGGGGCGGCGGTGCAGCGGGGAAGGGTGGGGGAGGCGGACCGGCCTTGAAGCCACTCGCGCACCAGAGGCACCAGCAGCAGCTGCAGTCCAGGATGTTGACCCCGTCCGTCTTCCGCGAGGCTCCCCTGCCAAGTTGCCCGCACCAAGTTTCTGCAGAAAATCCGCCCCGCTCGCCGTCAAGTTGACCCGAGTTGGCGGAGAGTGCGGGCAGCTGGAGACCGTCGTCGGGGTGCTGGCTGAAGACTGATTCCGCACCGTAGGTGCGAGAGAGACATCGCGATGGAAACGACTCTCGGAGCCAATCCGCTGCGCTGCCGCCACAACAAACGGCACCGCGGCGGCGCCCCGCGCGGCCCAGCGTCCCCGGGCCGCGTCACGTGCCCGTCGGTTCGAACGCGCGGAACGGCGGCGGCCTTGCGCCCCGCCACTCTCGCCAATTCGCCAGTCAGTGGCCAGCAGACTGATTCCGAGCGGGCGGCCCTCTCGCACTCATGAGGCTTTCCGTATGGGAGAGAGAGACCGACGGAGTCAGCGTGCAGCCGCAGGCGTCCGTATTGTCCTCCCAACCCCTCCGCACCCCGCCGCCGCCGCGGAGGGAGGGTGCGGGGCGCGGGCAGGCCGCGGCGAGACGCATTGATGCTATTTTTACGCGGTTGGACCGTCGTGTCTTGCGGAGCCTTCCCCCCTTCCCCTTTCCTCGCGTGGCGTGGCTTGGCGCCGGGGGGCGGCGGGGGCGGAGGGGGGCGTGGGAAACGCGCAGCGCCCTGGACGCCCCCGCGCCGCCCCCGCGCCGCACCCACGCAGTGGCGTAGCGGCACCCACGCAGCACCCCTCCGCCGCCGCCCTGCAGTCCCTGCAGGCCCGGCCTGGCCGGCCACCCTCCCCCGCTGGAGTTCCCTTTTATTCGGGTATATTTTTCGCGTGGCCGCTGTGCCGCTCCCCTCTCCCCTCTGGGTGGGGCTAGGGCCGGGCCACGCGGTCGGGCCGGCGGTGTCATGACGGACAAAGTGAATCCGAGAGACGACAGTAATGGGCGTGTGGACAAGTTGCGGGCGAGGGGGTGGCGACGGGGGCGGGGTGGGCCGAGCAGAGTGGGAGGGGGAAGCCGGATCGTGGTGCGCGTGCGTGCGCACCTCGGCGTCGAGAGAGAGAGAGAGAGACAGAGAGTGAGATAAATGTTGCAAAGCAGGGCTCACGACTTTTATGCAGGAAAGGTGGGGAAGTGGGTGTGCCGAGTCCGCTCTGCCATGGCTCTGCCGCCGCCATCATCGTCGCCTCCGCCATTTTACGGTGGACTTAAACGGCCTGCCCACGCAGTCGCGCAGTACGCGGTGTAGTACGTCCCGCGCTGCAACAGCGGGCCTGGCGCGCCGTACGTACCGCCGCACCGCAGCGAGCACGGCGTGGCGCGGCGCGCCTCACACAGTGTTGCACTTTGTGGGGCCTGGCGATGCCCGGCGGGGGAGGGGGAGGGGGAAAGGGGTACGCGAGTCGTGTTCTGCCTGCGTCACGCGGGCTGCCTGCGTTCAGGCTCGCCTCTGCCTTGTCTGGCCGGACGGTTTCTAGCGCTTCTGGCCCGGTTTACAAGTGGAGCTCGCTCATTGGCTTTGCGAGGCCCGATGCGCCATCCGTGACGCCCTGCCTGGCCCTGCCGCCGGCTGGATGCGCTTGATGCGCTGCTGAGCGGACTCGGTCGGTTTCAGCTGGATTTGCTTGAATCCCTGGACGCCGCGCCGCGAGTGCGAGAGAGACAGCCTGACTTGTCAGCGGGACGGGCTGGCTGGCGGTCTACGCCCTCGCCGCCGTCTGGCAGTGCAGGCACCACCGCGGCGACACGCCCCGCGAGTGCGAGAGAGACGGGGCGACTCTGTTTTGGAATGGAGCCGCCCTGCATGCAACACGCTGCACTTGACACTGCAACGCGGACATGCAATCCGTCGCCCCTTCTTGGGCCGGCCGGCCCCGACCTTCGCGTGCTGTGTGTGTGTGTGTGGAGGGGGGGGGCTATGGATTTTTCAATCAGCTCCTGGATGATTTCTCAATTCACACCGATCATTATTTCAATTCACGCCGTTTGGCGGAGTATGACCGAAGGGGCACGACAGACGGGCGGACGCAGACAGACAGACAGACAGACCGCCGTCTGCATCAAATTATTGGCGAGAGGAAGTGTCTGCCCATTGTTCCGGACGGATGCAGCGTCTGAGTCCGCTGCACCGCGACTGTCTCCGCCGGTCGGCGCGGCTCCAAGCGCGGCTCGCCGTGGCGCGGCGCGGTTGATTTAATTTAACCATTAGCGCTCTCTGGTCGAAAAATAGCGTCCCTGTCTTATGTAATAGGGGAGGAGGAAGGGAGGGGGGGAGCCCTAAGCCCCCCTCTTGTTCAAGGTCGTCGCTCCTCAAGGCCGCGCCCCGCCGCGTGCGCCCCTGCGGCCCCCGCGGGGGTCCTGTTGGGGAAGGTTCTGCGCGGCCCGCCCGATGCGAGCCCC